TGCTAAAGATGAGACAAAAGCTAACTGGGAATGGAGGAAGGGCACATCATTTTGAAAATGGTTTCCTTTTAAACTACATAACTTCCAGACATTTAATTCACTAATTAGGACAAGACAATAGTTGTACAAACAATTGGACAATAGTTGTACAAACAATAGTTGTACAATACTTTAAGGATAACAGTTAATGAAAACTCCTTAGCTAACAATCAACGGTAGTACTAGGCCATAATCACAGTGAGGATCTCCAGAAGAAACCTCAAATTCAATCTAATCCCATAAATTATACATTTTTCAGCTGATAGACTTTCGCTTGAACTATACTATATTCTGCTTGTGGCATGCTATAGATTGAGAATTTCAAACTGTTTTTTTTTTCTGGAATAAAGAGGGGCAAAGATGAGGAAGGAAAAAGAGCAAGTATGGAAACAGGATCCATAGAAATTCTGCTTCTTTACCTAAAATAAGACCCATTTCACAGGATTTTTTTTCTCACTTTCAAGGCACATCATTTGCACAAATCTTCTTGAAAACATGTGAACTGGCATTTTCAAATGAAAAGCAAAAGCTTCCATTAAGATTAAATTAGTCCTCTCAAGCACATACTATACTGAGAATTTGTTCCTTTAAACTCTTTCTTCCAAGTAAAAAACACATTATACTTACCAGGAACTGTCTTCCAGTGAAATCAGAAGCTACTTCCAAGCAAACATGTTTAAATTTTAGGTTACTGGCTGATCATTAATGACAAAGCAACTTCATCAGATCATTTAATCTTGTTATAAATCTGTCACATAGAAGCAACATCTACTAACTCTAACAAATGTACCTCTGGTTGCTGTATTACAAATATGATTGTCAATCATTTACTCAAAAGAGACCTTGCAAAAAAAGATAAAAAGAACTTAGGGTGTTAAAACAAAGTTCCATTTTATGTTGCAAATTTCAGCAAAGACTTCAACAACTTCTGCTTTTCTTATGAAAGATGGTTTTTTAAGTATAACTACACTTACATAGTATGCTTAGTCAGTCAGCAACAATGACAGGAAAATAAAAGACACATTAGAAAATATGTTTTATTTGCAGTTTTCTAGACAGCTTGACACTATTTTTTTCCTTACCATCTATTTATAACATATGTTTGAAGGGATAAAGAGCAGACAAGACTATAAATATTATCTCAAACAGAACTTAAGCAATGTTAGATCACTTGAGCAATAAATTTTTCTCAGTTGCAGAGCAGCAATGCTGCATGTGATAGATTTCCTCAACAGTTAGTTTACTAACAAATTTCCTGAATTACTCAATCAGATGGTTTAATAACTTACCAGACACCAAAACAAATGAGAGGAAGAGGAGTCAGTATAGGCTGCAAAAATCTGGATAACCATTAGAGGGCAACAAAGAGGAATAGAAAAGTCTTTGGAGTCATTTGCAGTAAGTATTATTTCAGGGTAGAGAATAGCCCTGGGATATATAGTTCATAAAATAAAACTATGTAAATGACAACTTGAGTATTTATTCCATAATTTGGAAATATTCAACAATAAACAGATCCTTTAATAGAAAGCCTTATATAATAACAACCCTTATTCTCCTTCCAAATTTCTAGTTTCTGTTTTCTCTTCTCATATCTAAACCAAAGCTGCTACTTTTAATAGCCCCACTTCCGTGCCTCCATGTGGTTGTTTCTCAGAAAGTCTGTGCATTGGCTCAACTCTTGTCTAAGAGTTGAGCAATTGTTGAGTTAATTTATTATAGCAAAATTATATAGCAGTCTGCTTTGTGTCTTTTTTGTAATTAAATGGATGATGAACAACAAATTGAGGCAATTGCTGTAGTTATAACAATGTATAAAAGTTAACCAATACTTCCAAATTACATAATTTATTTTATTTAGCAATTGAATTCTTCCAATTGTGGCTTTTCAAATTTGTTGAAAAACTTGCCCATCTTTGGTAAAATATCCTCCTCGCCCAAGCTAAATCTGGGTGGTATTCACACAGTTTCTGTTACTATTATGGAAATTGACTTTGAGGCCTGTAGATGGAAGGAAGATACCCAATCAGCATTCAAGATAGCATTTAATTGGCTGTATTGTTGTTTCACTTGATTGATAGATAAGATAGACAGAGACAGACAATACATACACTTGGGCCTACCACTGGTTATTCATTTTTCATGTGGCAGTTGTTGATAAGACAAATCTCTCAGTAGATCTCTATCTGAGATAAGCTTGACAATTTAAGTGATTTCCTTTATTATAAATATTCCAGGCAACCAACATCTTCTGAGATGAGTTTGACCATTTGCATCAACCACCCACATAATAAGAAACATATAACCATATTAAAAAATAAGGGAACAATTACAATCTTAAAGATCTACTTGACAGATGAAGAATTTTTCAGTTCTCTTAAATACTTGAATCTAAACAAATGTTAATTGCACACACCTTACTGGCCTTTATCAATTGAAAAAAAGAATTTGTTCACTTCCAGAATCTGCTATAATAGCAACATTTTCACTAAGTGTGTTGATGCAGCCACTAAGCTTCACTAAAATAAACCCAGTTGTCTTTATGTTCCTAACAAGTAGCCAGCTTTTGCTACATGTTAATACAGAGGAGCGGGAAAATGATTATCATGCACTCAATAAACAACTGAGAAAATCAAGAGAAGCAATAAGTGGAGTTTCAGGAGACAGAATCTGAATACCTTCATCCATTTCTGTCCTCACAGGAAACCATTACAGAAAAGAAAGCATCCCGCTAAGGTGGGAAAATCTGAATAACGGTGGCAGCTTAAATGTCTGCTATGGCAACATTTTCTTCTAAGTATCATGAAATGTGGAATTTAATTGCATTACACACACTGACGTTCCCTAATTGTCATCTTCCAAAGGATCAGCCTAATTAGTGCATTTCAACTACCCTTCTAATGTTTGCAGACAAGATGGCCAGCTTAGCAGATGCTAGTTGAGGAGTAGAAAAACATAATGAAATGGTTGCCCCAGTTCTCAGCAGTTGCTTGAGAGCCATTTTGCAAGACATGAGAGTGAGGGGGGGGGGGGGAACACCCTACACATACCATTTCCATTTATTTACCTTGATTTTTCATTCATTTAAATGGCAGAGAAGATATGTTTTTTCCTGCCATAAAAGTAAACATATTGAGTGGTAATATCACACTAATGACTATCTTACCCATTCTATCATGAACAAGGATTTTCCTCTTTAATAATAGACATAATTCCATCCATGTGGGATTGCACATGCTGAGACTTTAAACACTGGGTTTAAAGCCAATACAATATTTCCCAATGCAATTATTTAAGTGGGGACTGTTGATGAACGGATTTCCTAAAAGGGTGTCCTACAGATCCTGCGTGATTACTCTCTCAAGATGCCAGTCTTTGTTCCAATAATTCTGATATGAGCCTGCCTAAGGATGGAACGACTGGTCTCATCTCTCTTCCACACCCTGCTCTCCTACGCATGCGCCACACGAAGACAAAGGAATAGGTAATTACAGAAGACTTTCATTCATTTCCCCTGCAGTACAGCAAAAGAGAAGCCAAACTGGAGGGTTTTTCTCACCCATCTACATGATGTGGCAGAAATTCTGTGCAAGCATGCACACCACTGATGACTCCTTTAAAAGCATCCCTTCATTAAACAGGGGGTGGCCTGGTTTAACATTTCCAGCGTTACAATTTAAATGCACATCCTAATAAGGCAGTCCGCAAGGGTGGAGAAGGAAGGAAAACGCCAGGATTTAGGATTTGCAAGATATACAGATTTGCTGGGCTGGGGGTGGGGGGGGGAGGTGGAGGAAGGGTCTTTCATCTGAATATTCATGGGGCGCGGAGCATCTGTGCAGTAATTCTGATCTTAATAAAGATGGATCGTCGGTTTTTAAAAGCTCTTGTCTTGCAGCTTTTGTATTAACCAGGGCGGGGGATTAAAACTGTGACAGCGTCTCTTTTTTTTTTTCCCAAGTCACATCGGTGAGTACTAACGAAACCATAAGCTCTTTTCTTTAGGGTCGTCAAAGAAAAGAAGAAGAAAAAAATCCAAATCAACACATGCCCGAATGGTTAAAATCGGCAGCTGTCCATTTACAAAGGAAGTATCATTACCTCCCTCCTTCCCCACCCCGCCACGCCGCCCGTCAGTTCTTCGGGAAAGAAGCTGCACGGTTACTTTTGAACGTTTTGATCACCGGGCATTCCCAAAATGTTTGGAGTTTTCCTGCAAAACGTTCCACAGGTAAAAACTGTGGAAAAGCCTCTTGGGAAGCTCAAGGCTCTGAGAATCGTTCGCAGGGTTCTCTCTTATAAGCGCTCCCTGCCTTTCCTCGCCCCCACCCCCCGCCTTTCTATCCCCCCCCCACCCAAATCTTCTGCAGGGTCTTAGCAGGAATGAATCTCCCCCCCCCCCCCCCCCCCCCCAGCCCCCCGCGCGTTCTTCGAACCGAGCCTTTCTCCTGCAAGGCGAGTGGCTGGCTTTCTAAAAAAGCTTCCTTTAAAAGCCCTCCGCCCCGATCTTCCCACGCATGTTCTCTCCATCAGGCGACCATCCCGCGCGTGTTTCGGGCGTAGCAGAGATTTCATTTCTCTACATCTTCCTGCTCGTATAGCAAACAAACAAACAAAAAAAAAAACCCAAACCCACCGCGATCGTTCTCTTTCGGAGTAGTAAAAGCCACCGTCCAGACATGTGCGCTCCATAAGGCGATTCCCAAGAACGGATCCATTCTTTCCCCTAGACCGTAGTTCTTGTATTTATTTATTTCCCCCCCTAAGGCAGATTCTTTAATCTCTTAATGCACACGCGCGCGAACATACACACCCATCAGACATGTATACCTGCCCGAAATCGTTTCGGGAGAAGCGTCCAAACCCGACCGCCTGGAGGAAAGAATCAAATCAATTGGCCAGCGAGGAAGAAAAAAAAATCAAGCTCTCAGATGGCGACGAAGAGGCGCGGCAAGCCTTACCTTCTTTTCCTCGGCTCCTCTGTCCCCTTTTGTGCGGATTGAGGGGTGGGTGGGTGGTCACAAAGAGAGAGAGACACACACAGAGAGAGGCCCGGCTAAAGCCCCGCGCCCACTGACTGAGACGCCGGAGATCTCCCTCGCTCGGTTGCTGGGAGTGGAGTGGCTGGAGCTGGCTGATTGGAGCAACGCCGGCGCCGCCGCTACTGCCTCTGCATTTCGCTCTCCCGCCCGCTTCTCTCTCTGACAGTCTGTGTGGGCAGTTCAAAAGCCACACGTGCACGCGCGCGCACACCACTCTCTCTCACTCACTTCCCCCCACCCCCGGTTTAGTGAGGGCTTTTTCTACCCTTCCTCTTTTTTTAAAAAAAAAAAAAATTATCCCTCCCCCACCCACCCCCGCTCCACGCAAGCTCTTGCGCTTCAAAAAAGGCTCGCTCGGGCTCGCCCTTAGGGGGCGTCCTGAGGCCAGGTCTTTATATATACATACATACATACATATATGTATGTATGTATGTATGTATGTATGTATGTATGTATGTATGTATGTAATGTATATATATATATGTGTGTGTGTGTGTGTGTATATATATATATGTGTGTGTGTTTGTGTGTGTGTGTATATGTATGTATGTATATATATATATATATATATATATATATATATATATATATATGTGTGTGTGTGTATGTGTGTGTATATATATATGTGTGTGTGTATATATAGGATTAGATATAGATGTAGATATATATTCTTAAGTTTTCGCGGGTACTTACATGTATGGTATTCAGCTTTGTTCGGGTATTTTCCCAGTCATTATAGTTGTGCTTTTAAAGTTGTAGCAACGTTTAGGCAGAATCTCATCTGCCATCCTCAGGCTTCTGTATTGTGTTCGTCTGTGAGTCAGACTTTCACAGACAGACTTTCTCTGTCTGACTCACAAACGAACACAATATAGAAGCCTGAGGATGGCAGATGAGATTCTGCCGAAACGTTGCTACAACTTTAAAAGCA